TAGTTATATTAGTAAATTTTGTTATGTTAAATTAAAAATTGTCTAATTCTTAGTAAATGTCTTTTGTTTCAGTTGTGATTATCCCTTTAAGTAAGCCTTTCTTTGTATGTGTTTTCAGTTTTTATTTTAATAGCGTGCTTAGAAAGTAAATATGAATAATTAAAAAATTTTGATCTTACAATATTATCTATATTCGATGAATTTAAAAACGTTCCATTTTAAATTTAAGTTAGAATTATTGTTAATAAAATTTCAGTACCTATTAGACGTTTTGTATCTATAAAACGCATTGCTGTCATTAAAATCTTAGTATAGAATGTATATATTTGGAAGAAATGTAATTGTAATCATTTTCAGGCAAGACAAGTCAGGACGACGTATGTTATGTTGTCGCCAAATATGATTATGGAGCACAAGGTGCTCAAGAGTTAGATTTACGTAAAAATGAACGTTATTTACTTCTCGATGATTCGAAACATTGGTGGAGAGTACAAAGCGCAAGGGGTCAAGCTGGCTATGTGCCAAGTAATTATGTTAAAAAGGAAAAACCATCCCTTTTTGACAGCATCAAAAAAAAGGTCAAAAAGGGCTCTGGTTCGAAAACTCTTCCATCCAGTAATTCACCATCTAGAGCCGTTGAATCTCCTATAATGGCCAGGCGTTTGCCTGCCGATCCAAGCGAAGCGATAGGAACGGCAGTTGTCAAATACAATTATCAAGCACAACAAGCGGATGAATTATCACTCGTCAAAGGCACTAGAATTTTAATATTAGAAAAAAGTAACGATGGCTGGTGGAGAGGTCAAAGTGGTACCCAAGCAGGCTGGTTTCCATCAAATTATACTCAAGAAGAAGGAGATGCCGATGATACTCTTCACACATACGCAATGGCTGAAAACGTTCTTGATATTGTTGTGGCTCTTTATTCGTTTTCTTCTAACAATGATCAGGAACTATCTTTTGAAAAGGGTGATCGTTTGGAAATCCTTGACCGTCCACCGGCAGATCCTGAATGGTATAAAGCGAGAAACAGTCAAGGACAAATAGGTCTTGTACCACGTAATTATCTTCAGGAACTAAGCGAATATTTAACCCAGCCATATCGTGAACGAGGAATGACAAGCAGTGAGATTAGTACAGGTGATTCTCTTGAAAGAAGGCCAGACCCCGGCGATAGACCACACCTTATTGGAAAACCTTGGTACTATGGTAGTATTTCACGTTCTCAATGTGATACACTACTGAATCAACATGGTCATGATGGTGACTTTTTAATTAGAGATAGTGAAACAAACGTAAGTATCCCATACTTTACTAATAATAACAAGTAATATTGCTTTTTCATCATTCTAAATACTATGTGAGAAATACTTTAACTTTCAGGTGGGAGATTATTCAGTATCTTTGAAAGCTCCAGGACGTAATAAGCACTTTAGGGTACACGTGGAAGGAGCGTTATATTGTATTGGTCAAAGAAAATTCCATACACTAGACCAATTGGTAGACCATTATCAACGAGCGCCTATTTATACTAACAAGCAAGGTGAAAAGTTATACTTGGTGCGCCCATTGCCAAAAGGCAACCCCAGTAGCAATGGTTGCTAGGTGAATTTCGTGCCATGAGACAGTCCATGCGCTTTATTGGAACGTATCTTTGAGATACGTGACGCCTGCCTAGTAATATCACAATATCACACATCTCGTATGTTTATACATAACAATTAATATAATTGGTGAACTCATATATTAGTGTTTCTTGATTGTTTGTCCATTTACACTCGTAAATAATTTATTACTCTAAGTAATTGCCACCACCAGCAATTCTTACCATACATTGGAGCTTCCATACTATTTAGCGAACAAAGCTAAAAGAAAGACGAATAAAAAAAAAAAAATATTTGTACGGCAGCTATACGACGATTGACTAGTTGACACACAAAGCTTCTCTTTATATCCATATGTAATTGTAAAACACGACCGACCATGTTATTACAATTAATTAATATATTTACAACTACACATAATGTAGACTGCAAGTGTAATGATCAAATAACGGTTAATTATCATGCAATTACGACCGGTTAAGTGGATCTCTACTCTGAATCTATTGGTATTGAATTATGACAAAGACTAAGTGTTCATTTGTGATTTTGTATTTATTAGAAATTTTTAAGTAAATAAACTGTATTTAAGTGTGCATCAGGTAAAATGGATTTTTGTCTGTCCCTTATTTACTGTATATTTTATATATATATATATATATATATATTTAAAACTTCCTAAACGTGTGTGTAGGAACCAAATAGAATAAAAACGGAAATGAATCTCTAAACTATATTAAACAGGGATAACTGTGAGAGGCAAAATACATAATTGGTAACAAATATTAATCTTTATTTAACGTGTATATCATATTCATAAATAAAGGTATTATTTTAGTTTATATGAATAAGAGATTGGTGCTCCTGGAGATAAAAGTTAATGGCACTAATTGCCAATAAGGTCACGTATATAAACAATTGCCCTAGTCTAAACATATTTTAGCTCTGTATTATTTGTTCGTAATTCCATTAAAAGCTTATGCTTACTTAATCATAAGAAAGGATTGTTCGAATTTCTTGTCATGTTACTCACACCAGAACCGACCTAAAAAGTCTTGTATGTATTTGAATGTATTTTATACATGTAAAAAAAAAAATAAAAGTAATACAAAAAAATAATATTTATACCATGAAAGGATTAGCATGATATGCTGGAAGAGTTGGTTGCCACACTTTATTTGTCATTAATTGACTAAATTGAATTACATCTCTGTTATTAGATGATCCAATACCTACCCATTGTGGATCTGAAATATTATCTTATTTATTATCAATTTTTTATTTTATACCATTTTAATGAAAACTTACCATTATTTATAGGAAACTGCGCTGGCTTAAAAGGATTAACAGGATTATATATGGAGGTATCAATGGATTGTGTATTATTATTAACTACATTAGCTGATGGTCGCCATAAATCACCAGTTACAAAAGGATTTGAAATTACATTTGTAGTTTGATTTCCTACATTCCAAACTGAATTTGAAGCTGAAAAAAAGTAACGAAATGATTTTTCTAAACCAATTACAAATAATGATATAAATAATGAATATACCATTATTAGAATTCCATGTGGATGTATTTAATGTTGCTGGAGTATCATCTTTCAGTTGGGTTTGTTTCATTAAAGAGTCTAAGTCTTTGAGTGCCGCATAACGATCTTCGGATGGAGGTATATATGTTCCGTTTGCATTCATTATGTTAGTAGAATTTCCTGTAGTCTGACTAAACGGACTTGAGGATTCGATATCTAAACGAAGAATAGGTAAGTATTAAAGTTGAAATTTTTATAAAGCCAAAGATGTAGCACATTTCTTTCATTTACTTGTATTTTTAGGACTATTAAAAACAGGATTGTTGTCGAAATTGGCGAAGAATGGCTGAGGTACAATCGGTTGACTGAGTTTATTCGTAGGCGTTGTAGTAGTAATAAATGGATCAGGAACTTTACTGAAATCAGCTACAAAATCTGTCGAAAAGTTGTTAGAATTTACTGACTCAGAATTGTTTATTTTCTGAGTTGATATAGAAGATAATGTTGATGTTCCAGAATGAGGAACCCTTGGAATGTTGGTTTGATTCGACGACTGCAATTTTTGATTGGAGTTTTGATTAGAATTTTGATTTGCCATGGACGGATCCAAATAGTATCTCTTAAGCTCGTATTTTGCACTCATAAGATCCTTCATTTTTTGTTCATCTTTTGTATCTAAAGTTTGAGGGGAATTTGAATTCATCAAGCCTAACCATATTCTTCTGCAATATTCGTTACCACGTTCCTTTATAAAATCTATTTCCTCTTGTGTAAATGTTGCCATAGAAATAGATTTTACTCTGTGTGGTGGTGTCAAGCCCCGCCTGCAATTTCAAACAAAACTAGTGACACAAATGTTTGTTCCTACATCGATTAATGAAAGTTTTCATATTATAATTATCTGTGTCAAAGTATTAAAAGTAATTTTTTAATATCTTACTTTTTTATTTTTAATAACCAGTCAATTTTGCATATTTAATCATTTTAAAACCATTCGCATACTTTACATCATAACTGTTGAGTTTCTTTATTACTTATGAGTTTAATATTTTGAGCACTGATAACAACTACTACACACAAAGAAAAGACAGATGCTGATAGTATATTAACTTCCTGAGTGCAACTACAAGCGTTCAGTAAATTTATAATCTATGTCAAGTCAATAGTAAAATGTATTCGTTGTACACATTTTAACAAAACTTACAATTTATATATATGAATAATAACATTTTAATTTTTATTCATATTGAAACATCTAATGTAGTTGAAATGTTGACATGTATTCAGTGTTAATCATGAACCTTTGAACGTTATACATCGCGAAAGAAAAATGGAATTTTGTTAGCCTCATTTTTGATAGAAATAACCGATGAGTAAAATAATCGTTACGTCATTTTTAACGATGAAGAAGAGTCGATACATTTTGTTGGCTTCTTACAGGTAACGAATACTTACAGCATACCAGAACAAGAGGTACAGACAAATGAACCGATTGTCATGTTGACGTAAGTAGGACCTCGCTGATGGCAGTCGAAACATTCTTTGTTACCGGGTTGCGAGACCAGCTCGCGCAATATTTTTAAATTCTTTTCATCTTGCTTTCTTTTAGCGGACGCCATCATATATGAGAGCTATTTAAAATTTGAAACGGAACAGAGACACAACTCCTCTTGAACTCTACTTACGGAACTGACTCAATTTTCTGTCACGACCGCGGTGCGTGTTCCGTAACACATTCTAAGAATGTTTCAAAAAACAGATCACTTTTTTAAGGTTGATTTTCACTTGCTAAAATATTCCTACCAGAATAGAACAGTTCATTGGTCAATTATTCATAATAATAGATACAATTAAAAGCTGCGTTTTTTTCTTAAACTGTGTAAACTATGTAGAACATAGTACAAGATTTAAATTTAGGTACACTACGTTTTCATTTTATTTTGCAACGAGATATGTAAACAAACAGACAGTTTAAAAAATACTTGTATCAAACTGTATGTATATACTATTTATGTCTGTATAAAATTATTATTCTTTTCATATTCATACAACAAAAAGTTTTATCCAATATTTTGTTATTATAAATGTCTATAAATAAAGCATAAACATTAAGTATTTATGCGTTTATGTATAAGAGTTAAGAATTATATTTTTGTGAAACTTATAATATTGATCCTGTTTTCATTAATTGTAATTGTAAAATTTTTTAAATGCTATAAGATATTGTAAAATATAATTGCAAAACTGTAAATTTTCTACTCTGTTTAGCTAATTCTAAATTTAGTTGAGAAGATCATTGTTAGTAGCAGTTTCCTAATTTCTATTTATAAATCAAAGATATACGTGCTAATTATATAGATGATTTACTTATAGTATAAGTAAAATAACTGTTCAAAAGAGCACAGTCAAGGTTGACGCATATTAAATGCAGAAAGTTTCCCTCATACTTCAATTACCAGTACTTTGGATTTGTTTATTTTATGTTCCATTAAAGAGTCTAACACAATAATCATTTAATGTACATTAATATAACAGTACTTTTTATAAAATAAATGTTATTGATTTTAAAGGATAAAATAAAAATAACTGTTACTATATAATCATGTGCATTGGCAAATAACAACATCAATTGAAAAGAAAGCTGAATCTGCTTTGAATAAGATGGCATCTCTTACAATGACGCCTTCGCAAACACCAAGGTTTACAATTTTGTATACTTGATAAAAAGTGTTTTAAAATACTGTTAAATTATCTGTAACTATAACTCATTTTACAGAATCTCCCAGATCAGAAATGTACGTCAAGGCAGTGTTATTGATTTGGATATTGATATGTTCCTTAAAATATCAAATTACGAAGATACAGTTAGACAACTTGATATTTATTATGGAATTGGTATGAACATTGATATTAATAATATATTAAAATTATACAGAGTACCTATTAAATGAATAATTTTTAGTTAAGAGACAATTGTTACGCTACCAAAGTTGCATAACAGGTCTTTTTCCTCAAATTTCAAGCGATAAAGTAGCCGGAAGCGTACGAGAAAGTATTTATTGCGCCGCTGCTATATGGAGTTTATATCAAGCGTATAGGTAATTGAATAAATGATTTTATTTTATTAATTGTTGTAACGATACGTTAATTGGTATAACGTTATTGTGTTAGACGTATAGACGATGATCGTGGAAAATCATATGAACTTGGACAATCAGCTGTAAAGTGTATGCGTGGAATTTTAGAATGTTGGGTGAAACAATCTGCTAGAATAGAGTTATTTAAACGCAATCAGTGTAATCGATTTGCTTTGCATTGCAAATTTCATTTAAATACTGGTGATGAGATTTTTAAAGATGCCGACTACAATCATTTACAGGTAACTATAATGCACAGTAAAATAACTTGGAACAATTTAAATTGCTTTATATATTCTAAATAACTATTAATTTTTACTTTTTATAGATCGATATCGTTTCTCTGTATTTGATATTTTTAGTCCAAATGATTTCTTCGGGATTACAAATTATATATACCCAAGATGAAGTAGCGTTTATACAAAATCTTGTATATTATGTAGAAAGAGCATATCGTACACCCGATTATGGCATGTGGGAACGCGGTAGTCGTTACAATGACGGTACTCCTGAAATTCATGCAAGTTCAATTGGTATAGCCAAAAGTGCTCTTGAAGCTATTAATGGATGTAATTTATTTGGAGAAAAAGGAGCTTCTTGGTCAGTAATATACGTTGATATCGATGCACATAATCGAAATCGCAGCATTTTTGAAACAATGCTTCCAAGAGAATCCAGTTCCAAGGTATAGAATAGTCTTTTACATATTTTGGAAATATATACTTCTGTTAAAATTACAATACATTATTCACATTCAGAGTGTAGACATAGCTTTGTTACCAACAATATCTTTTCCTGCGTTTGCAACACACGAGGAAGTATTATACAATGAAACGAAGGCGAATATAGTTCGGAGATTAAAAGGCAATTATGGATTTAAAAGATTTGGAAGAGATGGATATAAAACAGTCTTAGAGAACAAAGATCGTCGTTATTACAAATCTGGTGAAATTAAGGTCTCTGATGTATTTGATTGTTAGTATATACTATTTGTGAGAATGCATTTAAATAAATTCCAATTTATATAATAATGGTAATTTTTGCTGTATTAATAATATCATTCTGAAAAATGGTGTTGTTCTGTTACAGGAATTCGATAGTATAGAATGCGAATGGCCATTATTTTACATTTTCATGGTAATTGATGGTGTTTTTAAAACTCTTCCGGAACAAGTAGAAGAATATCAAAATCTGTTGAAGGAAAAAATGTATAAAGATGTAAATGGAGGTATATTAATATAGGCCTAATATAGATCTAATTAGACCTAATTTTAATAATATAAAACGCTATTCTTTTTACAATCAGATCCTGTGATACCTATGTATTACTATGTACCTGAGGATAGTTTGGAAGCAGAAAGAAATGATCCTGGCAGTACCTATCGAATACCAAGCGCTGAAGGAAGAGGTCGAAAAAGTTCTACAGATGCAGATCCCGGTCCCATGTATTTATGGAATCAAGCCATGTTCATAATTGCACAGTTATTGACAGCTGGCTTGTTACATATTAATGAATTAGATCCAATCCGACGTTATCTTCCTTCGTACAATAGACCACGGAAAGCTGGAAGGTATTCAGCTTTTCAAGTAAGCAAAAGCACAATTTGTTTATTATTTCTACTAAATTAATTAGTTGTATAAATATTTTTTTACATGTTTGTCCCATACAGGCTAAACCCACTATTGTAAGTAAATAATAACATATGTACATGTAGTATTGGTATACTTTGCATTGATTTTATTTTAGCATTTGAGAGTTAGGTAATTTCTTAATGTATATGTATGTATATCTGTAGCTATTGTGCTAAACACATGGCAGACATGCTTAAGTAGTATAATCTGTTGATTCTATTGTAATGTTAAAACCAATTATTTAAGCTATTTAATAATGCAATAATGCATGAAGCTTGAGTTGAGGCATGATTTAATTCACTATTTTATTATGACTGCTACAATTTATTATTTTATTACTTTCTATAATTCTGTTATCTACATGTATATCTTTCTTAAGATCTATGATTTTATGCATTAAGGAAGAAGGAAATTGATTATGTTGATAGTTTTAGAAATATTCTCAATGTTATTAGTAATGCATGATTTATCTATTATTAAATTTCTCTATGTTAGGGTACTCATACCGATCTTGTAGTACAAATCGTTCTTATTGCTGAGTCTATGAGATTGCAAGCTATGATGGCAACGTATGGCATACAGACACAAACACCTCATGAAGTAGAACCTGTCCAGATATTGTCATCCGCACAATTAGTCAAAGTTTATGAAAAATTAGGAGTGAATGGTAAATTGAATTTACAAGGTCGACCATCTAGACCAATTGGATCTCTGGGTACAAGTAAGGTATGATTAACCCAGGAAATTAAAATTGTAGAAAAAGAAACTAAAATTATTATTTGTAGGTTTATAGAGTTTGTGGTATGACAGTGCTCTGTTATCCTTTGATATTTGAAGTATCAGAATTTTATTTATATAGAGACATGGCTTTATTAATTGATGATATAAAAACTGAGCTCCAATTTGTGGGTAAATACTGGCGACTTTCGGGTCGACCTACTGTATGTCTTTTAATACGGGAGGAACATATGAGGTATATATTAATAAATAAAATAAATACATATAATACTTCATCTATAAGTTATTAAGAGCCCTTTCTATTCTAGGGATCCGCAATTTAAAGAAATGCTGGATCTTTTTGCTATGTTGAAAAAAGGGTATTGCGATAAAACAAAAGTTCGAATTGGTAGATTGCAAAATCTCATTTCATCTTCGTGTATTGGTAATTAGTAGTTCTTAATTTTATTCGTTATCGTTTACTAAATAATCGCACTTAATTTTTCCGTTACATAGAACACTTGGATTTTGTAAATACTATAGAAACAGATCTTGAGCTTACTCAGTTTAAACAATTGGAGCATGATTATATTGGATATCAAAGTCTTACAGATGTACCTAAAGCTTTAACTTACAGTGAAAACATCAAAGATTGTGCTGTAAGTATCCATATGTGAATATTAATTTGTTATTTCATTTATCTTAATCGTTTTGTATTTTAGTATTACATGAATGAACCACTGTATAATATATTAAATGAAATCCGCAATAATAAAAGCCTTTATACTTTATGTCAACTTTACGGCATTTTGTTGAAACGAGAGGGTGTGAATTATGAAGTTAATGGAATGACAGGTATTAGTTTATGAACTGAAAAACGGTATAAATGTATTGTGATATTCAATGTTTAAAACGTTATTTTAGTTGGGGATTATCTGCGGACTTTATATCAACAAGCAGGTTGCCTCAGATATTGGATGGTTGTTCGTTACTGCAGCAGCTTATTAAATCATACTGTTGATAGTATCAGCCCGTTTATAACTGCCGTTCTAGTTAAAGGAAAACAGGTAGTTTCATTAAATTAAAATTTAAGAAATATTAAAATACTTATTCACCGTCAATATAGATTACAGTTGGAGTTATTGGGCAAGAAGAAACAGTGTTTGATAAACCAATGACACCTGCAGAAATTCAATCAGTTATGTATTCTACAATTCAACCACACAATGTAGTACATGCAGTACTTCAGCAAGAAGTTTTATTATATTGTGGTAGACTGATTGGAACAAATCCAGAAATGTTTAAAGGAATATTAAAAATTCGTATTGGGTATATAATTAATTTTATAAACATTAATGTTTTAAAAAACAGTAGTTGAAATGATTATTTACATTCGCAGGTGGGTTTTAGAAGCAATAAAGCTTTACTTGCAAATGTTTGTTAAAAACCCTAAACCGGTTGAAAATTATAGTCCTTTTGAAATTCGCCGATTTCTTATAAAAGTATTGACGGTTAAAAATTGGGCAAATGATGAAAAGTATGTTGATTTATATGATACCAGTTAATTCATAAATTTTATATAAATTAATAATGTATATTATTATTTTGTAATAGGCTTACAATATTAGGGCGTAGAAAAATTGAAGGTTGCCTATGTAGGGTGCCTGCACATTTTTATAATCATGTTTGGGAAGTTCTGTTGCGTTGTCCAGGTGGTATTTGCGTTAATGAACAAGAATTGCCGCAACAGCCTACTCTTTCTAACATGACCCGTTCGGAACTTGCGTTTGCTTTATTTGTGGAGTCTTTGCTTCATCATATACAATTACCAGAATATCGTCAAATTATTGTAGAAGTATTTATCCATCTATTCTATTGATAAATATCAAAATTTTGTAATGTTTTCAACTGGTACTAATATCTTTCTTTTTGTAGTTACTTACCATAGTGTCAACAATTTTGCTTAGAAATCCAGAATTAAGTTTTCAGAAACAGTTGGATCTTAACAAACTCGTTGAAGACGCTTTTCTCATGTATTGCAAGGTACATCTACTTATCTTAATACTTCATCTACATCTCAATACTTATATTAATTATTTCAAAAAATTTTGTTTTAGGATCATAATTTAGAAAAAACAGCAGATCAATCGATATTTTTTTCTGCTCCTTACTCAATAACTGCTGGATATCTTGCTAGAGCTATTGTTAATAATGTACTTACTGGAGGATGTTTTGCAACTATAAATGACATTAATGATGCAATTGAAAATAGAGAAACTTGTAAAATTGCGTAATATACATTGTTGTTTATTAAAATAGTGGTTTGTCTGTAAATAAAATTATATTTATACAAAAGTATGATTATATTTTTTAAATATACATAATTTCCTCCAATAAATCTTTTTGTATAAATAAAATATTGAAATTACAAAAGATAATAAGTACATTCGGTTATGTTAAAAATATATTTCTTAATATCCAACATCTCTACTCCTGTGTTATTTTCTACAAAAATCTAAATGAACTGTACAAATGTAATGTTATTTAAAATTATCTTTTAGCAAAATTTGTGTCCATTGCTCTCCCAGACCGTTGAATATTATTTATGTTAGATTTAATTCTAGATGCAACAGTACCCACTTCTGCAGCAACTGCTAACTGTTTTCTAACAAAATCCTGATTGTATACTTTACTGCTATCGACTTCTTTCTTTTCTTCCTCACGATATTTTTTAACATTTCGCTCCCGTTCCTTATCTCTCCACGTTGCATTTGCTATCATTTCTTGCCTACGTCTCTCTTTTTCTTCTTCGGTAAGAGTTTGTTTCTTTTTAGAATTCCATCTGTCTTTGTTTTGGTTTTCTTCATTTGGATGTGATTTATTTGATACATATTTATTCTCAATACTGCTTCTGTTATTGTACTTGCTACTATATTCCCTACTTCGTGGACTTTTTGAACGAAAATGTTTGTTTTCAGTTTTACTTGTGTCTCTTCTATACTCTTTGTTTCTTTTCTTATGAACCGTACTGTCATTACTTTCTCGACTTGAACTACGACTTCTAACACGTTTTTCATATCTTTCTTTACTGTGTTTGCTGGTTTCAGCATTATCTATACTGCTGCTTTTTTTTCGTTTCTGTTTTTTATCCTCATTGCTTGAATCTTCTTCATTACTACTTTCTAATTCATCGCTAAGATCATGTTTGTTTTTTGATTTCGTCTTTCGTCTATGTTTAACCTTTTTCATAGATTTTATTAAATCCTTATCGCTAATCTTTTCTTTCAGCTGTTTATACTTAGCAGCTATTAACATATCCAACTCAGTCTCATCATCAGTATCTGCACTGTGCTTATGTTTTTTCTTCTTTTTCTGTTTCTTTTCACTTTTGCTTTTCTTTGATTGTTGTTCCAGCTAAACAGCAATTAGTAATTAATTAGTAACATATAACTAGTAAATATTTATCATTAGTTGATATTGTTATTTACACACCAATTGCCTTAGTTGTTTTAACTTAACAGGATTTTTCAATAATTGACTCCTAGTTTCCATTTCTTTTTTCTTGATAGCATACAAAGGATCTTCTTGCATTTTTCTGGCTAAGTCAACTTGTTCATTCCCAGAAAAAAAACGCAAAGATGGTGGAATACATTCTGAAATAACAAATACAAATGAAAGATATATGTACATTGGTTATGAATTATCATGGATCAACAATGTGTATGTATAAGTACCGTGTTCAACATGGTTTTTAGCCTGATTTACTTCAACACCTTTTTCTACTTGAGCTAGTTGTTCAAAAGATTTATCAATTGGACGTCCAAGTAAATACTCCTCTCTATTGACTAATTGATTTGGTCCTTTATACATCCAGTCTAATTTTTTGTCATCTTTTTTTTCTATCACACCCTGCTCCATTGCATACTTCTTTATGTCTTCTCTGTCTTTCTCGATTTCTAATTCTTTTTTTAATTCTGCTATCTTCCTTTTTTCTTGATGCTGCTGTTGTTCTGCTTTCCATACCTTCTCTATATTTTTCATTGTAGATGGATGCCATGATTTTTTCAAATTCTATCTTAACAAATAGGTAATTTCATAATGTATGTTTTTATTTATTTTCTGGTCAATTTAAAATTATAACTTAACCTACCAAATCTCCTCCTCCCATTTTTACTGAAGAATCAATATTCTTAAACTGAGCACAAATGAGCGCTTCAAACTTATTTATATTTACAAAACCAATAATTAGGTGATCATACTTTTGGATAAACGAATGCACTAAGGAAAATCATTTTTTTCGCACCTACGAAAAGACGTATACAAAATTGAAAAAACAATTTGCGTACACTCCAACACGCTCGGCGCCCCTCTAAAGAGAAGATGTCTCCACCAATGGGTGTGATATCTCGAGACAGCCAGGCATTTGGTATTCGAGAAAGAATAAAATTTTCTCAAGTAAATAGTCACTAAAGCGAATCGGTACGTTAATTAACTAGTAAAACATTTATAATAATAATTGTTAAATAATATAATATTTTATTATTAAATATTATAAAATTACATAATTAGGAAATATAATAACATAAGTATTAAATCAAATTTTCCCGCGTAAACAGCGCCATCTATACAATAAGGGCGGAAACTACTAGACGGCTTACCGGCCGAGTTTTTTAAAGAGGGGAACACTGGCGCCATCTATTCGAGCACGGCGGAAACTACTTGTCGACTAGTTTGCGCGATTTCCCGATAGATGGCGCTAGAAATCGATTGGTAACTCGTTGAGTAGTTTACGCTGTTTTTGTATAGATGGCAGTAGGGTCGAATTCAGGAGCAATTGTCATCGGCGATTTAATTTTGTAATTAATTTGTAATTAACGTCCAAAAAACAGACTGACGCGCCTCAGCACGAAGTGGATAATTATATCTTTTGCCTCGCGGTAAGCATATTATTCCTAATCTTCGAAAACAGTTATAAAACTAAATCTGACTCATTGTGATGTTTATTGTACTTTTTCATTTAATTAGAGATTTCTAGAGCTACTACATTGATATAAAATTAATCACGGCACATCGGATGAAACTAACAGCATGATAAAGATGTATACAATGCTCGTATCTTCAACTTTAATACAATCATAAATGATACTAATGTCGAGTGGAATAATGTTTCATTAAGATCGACAAGATACTACAGGCACTGAGCCGAAGGTATTACACCTAATCAAAATATTATGACTGTAAAACGAAGACTCTTTCAGTAAATCATAATTCAGCGGAAAATGAGTCAATTTATTTTGAAAAAAATAAGAAGGGAGCGGAATGTTTCGAATATCTTTAACGACTCCACCGTGTCTGTGTCATCTTACGTACGCATATTTACTTACTGCACAAAACATTTCGTAATTTATAGTGATCCTTTTTGCCTTCAAAATCTACATTCTCTTACGAATATTTGCTTTATGATACTGTCTGTTATTGCCTTCGCAGAGACTATAAAAATTAATTAAAGAACGAATTTAAACATTCGAGCGTTCTTAGGGAAATTTTGTTCCTTGCTTCGTTACCTGGCCCGATTTCTACCAGTAAGGACGAAGAACATCCTCTGTACCAAAATCTTTCTAATTCATCTCCTACTATGTCTTACAAGAAGTTTAAACATAACAAAAGAAAATTCAGCAGTTCGATCGGTGGACCAAAGCAAGAGGAAGAGACTGATTGCACTTGATTGCACTTAACTCCCTGGGTCGTGCAGCGGAGGTGCATGGAGGTGCACTGGAGGGTGCGCGCGCGCGACTATCGACCAGATCCTCTGGTCTCTCCTCCTCTCTGTTACCTCGGTGTCGACGACACCTGTATTTTGTTCGAATCCCGGGCCACGGCAAGGCCTCGTCACTGGCCGGAACGTCTTCCGGGGATCGGGGAACTGGCCGATCCCCGCGTGGCCACGTGGAAAACATGAGGAACAAAAGACTGAACGGTGTCCCATCGTTCTGTATTTGTTTCTCTCGTCCGATCTAATTCGAACGTTGCTCTGTACGTTATCTGTCGCGCCAAAGGAAGTCGACCAGACGTATTCCGGAAGCTGACCGGTGCTTTGAACGCGAAGTCGAGGATCCTTGATGCCGACTACGGGCTTGACCCTGTCCGTTCGGCCCGCTATGGGACAGTGAATCAGTTTGTCTGTTGGTGATGGTGCGAGGATGCTGTACCGTTTGATAATTGATTTATGGAAGCGTATTGGAAGATCCCTGGTAGAAAGACATCAGGAGCGCAGTTGGTGTAGCGGGGGTGGCTAGGTCTAAGGGGCAGTGGTCACGTAACAGGTCGGTGACGGAGGTGCGTCAAATTTGACCTGTTTCTCAGATGGATCGTTAACCAGAATGCCTGACCTCTCGTTACATTAAAATGCATCGAAACGATAGATTGGTTGCATTAAAGTGCACCGAATTGAAACCTTCCTGACGGTGATCAACGTCGAATCAGGGCCGTTCATTGCGTTCAAGTGTGTTAAATTGAGGGCCATCCGTAAGTTCCAGCTACAACCACGAAGTGGTGCGATATTTTCTTCAGCATCTTGGCAACAATTGGACGAATTAGGATCAACGATCCACTTTCAAGCCAGCTACAACGAAAAACAACGGCCTGTTGATTAGTATCGACGAGTACCCCCCGGCAGTCTTCCAGGTCCAGGCTGATCGGGTCAGGTGGACAGCATCTGTCTGAGCTACTTTCAATTCTCATCGCTGCTGATGGTAGGTTGACAAACTGATCGGTTAAAAAAAAAAAAGTTTCGGGTCACATTTATCTGGTTACCAATATAAGATTCATCGTCGGTGTAATCTAAGTCTCTTCGAAAATGATAACTGGGTGACTCGAAATTTATGAGTGGAATATTCTTTATTTATACCCACGATAAGGAAACAATCTTTTGTGTTTCAGTTCGACAATCTGTTAATTATATTTACATAGTTAACGCAATTTTAATTGATCGTGGGAGGACATCGATGAACGTGGTAGATACGATATCTTCGATCTTGATAAGGATTGTACCACGGGCGATGAAATACTCGCGAATTTTTAGTGTCTTTCAATCACTCGAAACTGGTTGGCAAAGAAGGTTCCTCTGGTATGTGCGATTACTTTCAGGACGAGGTAAGTCCGCTATTAATCTTTTCAAGACAATATAAACTTTGTACGGAATATAATTCACACTTGATTCGTTACACCGCCAAATCGATCGCTTTTCTCGAATTTTTATCAAAATGGAATACGATTAGGTGACCTTTAAGTTATCGTTTTACTCGTTTCGAAAGCATTCGTGAATTTCGCAATTTTTTCCCGTTTTTATTAGATTCCGTAATAAATTCCTGCGTTTTTTGTATTTTATTTTTTTTCCTGCAATTTTATATTTTTCTTGATTAAAAATCAATTAATTCGAAAAATTCAAGCAGATAGGTTTGTAGAGTGTGCGCCTAAGAATACACAAAATTGCTGGAAAAAAATAAAATACAAAAAACGCGGGAATTTATTACACCTAATACGTTTGAATTTTCATGTTGGAAATTATTCGTCTTACCGAATGAGTAATCTACTTTTTTATTTTACTTTGCTAAGAGAGCAATCTTTCTCGATTAAGATAAAAAAAAAGTAGTTGATCGATACGATAAATAGTTTTCGAGATAAAAGTTCAAACGTAGGAGCCACATCACCACCCCTTTCTTTAATTTTTAATTCTTTGGAGACATAATTTTTCTTTAGTGTTTCTTTAAATCAGTCCCCACTGCTCTGACGGTCTTTTAATAAACACGGAAAAAAATGAAAGAAAAATAATTGATACATAAAATTTATCAAATGAATGATTCACGTTCGATAACATTGAAACAAAAACCTTCGATATAGCAGTTTTAATTGCAGTGGGAGGAAACAAAACACGTTTGATAAATTGTATCCTTCGGATAACAATAGAACCGTGATTAAATGGCAAGAACCAACAAAACAATGTTTCTCCGTTGCAAATATTGGACCATGAGTTAAATTACGAAAACAAGGAGTTTAATTATGTTTCCTAAATTCAATTTTAATGTTTTATTTTAATTTGCTTTCGTATATAGGTAGCGACTCGTGGCGGTAAAAAGGTGTTGGACGATAAGAGAGGCATTTTCAATTTGGAAATCGAGAGCAAGATACACAGGAGTCGCTTACGATTACAAAGATGGTTACTAGGACTTTTAATCTTTTTGTTTATCTCGTTGATCGTTATAAACACTTACAGCACCGATCAATTTCGAACTATGCGATACGGCACCCTCTTCAACGACACTCTTCAAGGTACTTGTATAATCTTACAAATTTTCATTCTCTATCCCCAATTTCAAGTAGATGTATTTAAACTTTGCAGCAAATGCAGGGTGTAACTACGAAGGTGATGAAAAATTTACCTAAACTTACTAAAATATTTGAACAGATTTTAATCTATCGATGTTACATAATGACTGAAACTTATCGTGAACTCATATTTATATTACTCGTAGATACAATATTCCTTAAATTATGTGATTACAGCTGGCGAAGCAATATAGTTACAAGAAATAGTAAATAAGATTATACACTTTATGATAAAGAATTTAATATAAATATTGTATAAATTTGAATTAAATTAAGTTACACAAGTAAAATTTAGAGCAAGTTGCTGCGAAGTTTAAGAAAATTTATGATCATCGCTATGTTCCCTCCCGGTCCCCCCGACCGGCAATATAAAATCGTAGGTAATTGTAGGTAAAATTGTAATTAATTTATTTATCGACAGAAAAGTTGAATAACGCTGGCTTCTTAGTCCACAACAAAGGCTGCCGAATCCCAGCGATGGATCCTTACGATGTCGCGATCAAACGTTTCATCCGCAAAGAGGATCCGATCGTTTGCGAACACGGGGATCATTTACCGTTGGTCGAGTCGAACGACACATCGCTGTTCGTGAATCCAGCAGCGATAAGTCATTTTTACAACAAATCCGAGGAGGTCGACTGCTGTTGGCGTTCATTTTGGCGAACGAAGGACGAGGATAATGCTGTTACGTCAGTAAGACTGATAGCTTTCATTCGTTGTGCCCTTAATTAAATAATGAAAAACGAAAACGTTCTCTTCATCGATGAAACATTTGTCATTTTTCCAGGTACGATAATAATTGCTTCAAATTCCATAATTCCACCACCGTCAACACCGAATTCGTCAAGGTCGAATGTTCCCGGAACAACGAGCTGATATACAAGGATTACCACGTCTTCCTGCCCCGTAATTCAGCGCTCGAGGAAAGATGCGAAAAGGCAAGAGCTTCGAATCCGAAGAGAAAACCGCTCAGTTTGCTGATCATCGGCATCGACTCGGTCTCGAGGATAAACTTCCACCGAATGATGCCGAATACCGTGCAAGCGTTGCAGCAACTAGCTGCGGTGGAGATGTTGGGTTACACCAAGGTAGCCGACAACACGTATCCGAACTTGGTGCCCGTGTTAACCGGCCTGACCGAGGGTGAACTCCGCGACCAATGCTGGCAGACGAAAAACAAACCGTTCGACGATTGTCCGTTCATTTGGAAGAACTTCAGCGCGGCTGGTTATCGTACAGCGTTCGGCGAGGACGCCTGTAGCATCACGACGTTCAACTACCTGAAGCCAGGCTTTCGTGTCCAGCCGACGGACTACTATCTCCGACCTTTCTGCATCGCCTCCGAGAAGAACATCGGCAATACTCATAGACTGAACGCGAATCTCTGCGTAGGCACCAGAAAGACCTTCGACAATTTGCTGCACTACGCTCGTAAAGCAGCCTCGCAGTTCCCTAGGGATCCTTACTTCGCTATGGTCTGGCAGTCTAGCTTGACCCACGACTTCTTTAACTACCCGCAGTTGGGCGATCAGTCCTACTACGAATTGATCACCTATCTGTCCAGCCAACGATTGCTCGATCAAACGGCTTTGATAGTGATGAGCGACCACGGGATGAGATGGGGCAGCTTCCGCGAGACTTATCAGGGCAGGATGGAGGACAGTCTTCCGTTTGTATTCATCGTGTTGCCGGACTGGTGGAAGGAGAGCTACCAGGTGGCTTGGGCCAATCTCCGAAGAAACGCGAGGAGCTTAACGACTGCCTTCGACCTGCACGAGACCCTCCTGGACCTCTTGTACTCGGAGAATCTGGAGGAGTCACGGCTGAAGAGTCGTTTTCACTTGATGCCGAAAGGGGACAGTCTGCCACGTGGGATAAGTTGGTTCCTGCCGATTCCTGATCACCGAAGCTGCACCATGGCGGGCATAGCCAGTCATTGGTGCATGTGCCACGACAGCAAAGATGTCGATTTGAAGGACGACAAGCTCAAAGACAAGGCTGCGTTCTTAGTCTCGAAGCTGAACGAGATGCTGAAGAAGTTCGCCCAATGCGCGGTGCTCAAACTGAAGGAAGTTAAAGGTGCGAAAGAATGGAGAAACACGGGTGATGGGTCGGAACTGGTTGACTATACGATTACGCTTCAGACCGAACCTGGTAACGCGATATTCGAGGGCACGGTACGTTACAGGAGCAGCGATAAGAGTAACAAATTGGTCGGATCGGTGAGCAGATTGAACGCGTACGGGAAACAGAGCGCTTGCGTCGATGAATTTAATATGAGACTGTATTGTTACTGCCTCTAATTGAGCCGCGCACACGAAATTGCCCGAGGGGTGCTCAACTGCCCTCGTGTTTTACTACTTACCGTGCGTGTCTGTAAAGCCTACATACGGTCTAATAAGTTGATTTTCATATTTTCTCAAATGATCTAAATCTTGATGGCCACAAATGGAATCGTTAACGCCATCATTGAAACACGAGATATCTCGTGAACGGTCGTTTAAATGTTAAGATGGATAGCGCGTGAAGAAAATCACACTGTGATAAGATTCTTGCTTTAAAGGTTTCGTGCTTAACAAATGCAACGTTTGATGCTACTGATATACCGGATAGAATTAATAAGTAATTAAGTATACTTAATCGCGTGCGTGCGTGCGTGCATGTATATATATGTATATGTTTAGTCCACTGTGAGGTATGTGTCTTTTTGAACTGCTAAGACAGATAAACAACTTTTTAATTAACACAGTAGTAGCGTGCAAAGCTGTTTCATTTTTCTATGGTACTATATTGTAATCCATTGTTTGATAGCATATACGTTGTCATCACCACGTGTTATTATCGTCACTGTATTTATTTCACTAACATAGCGGTTCGATTTAAAAATCACAAAATAGCCTAAGATAAAAGTTTACAAACTTTTTGTAGTTGAATTTGTAACTTATACTTGAAACTTATTTTTCCACACGTGTAGAAAACAGAATATAATTTCTCTTAAACAGATTTTTTATACAAAAAAAAAAAAAAATAAAGTTTCTAAGAAAACCATTTATTTTCCCTGTTTGCTACAGCAACCCACATAGATTAGTTGTAGATAATGTTATGTCTCGAGTTCAAAAGAAATTTTTCTTTCACAATGGACTAAACTTACTATGAACAATCTTAAATATCTCAAAGTTCAAATACCAGTTAAATGGTGGATAAAGAATTATTTTAATTATTAGCCATTGCTTTTCTACTATCAATATATTTATTTAATCTTTGTTCAACGTTCAGAAACTGATTTTGCAAACCATTTTATCGATCATTTTCTAATAGCTTTTTTTTTCACGGGTTAATACTTGGAACATTTACATATGATAAAAATAGAAAAATTATAATTTATTTCTGAGCTTGCAACAGAGAAGTTACTATTCAGAAAACAATAAAATATCACAACGCGTTGCGCGTTGTATCTGACAGAATTATACTTGAATTTTTCTAAACACAGTACATACAAAGATAATGAATAAATCTTTGTAAAATACGAAATAATGTGTATAATTTAATGCAAAACTTTTACATTTCATGTAAAACTTGTACATTTCATTGTAAGTAATAATGATAGAAAAATTGTACCACAATAGTTCGCTAATCGTATTTGATTTTCGATACTTGACTCCAATTTTCGAAAACAGTCATCGTGGTATTTTTATTCATTTAGTTGAATGCAAAACTTCTGCTCATGTAAAACACTCATACATCACCCACACGCATATTAAACGTAAAATAACTTACTCCGTTAAATAAACTGCTCAACCATTGCTGACATTCGTACAAATAGTTGGCAATAATTATATATATATATATATGTATGTATAACCAGTCTCTTATGATCAAAGAGGAAGTTTATGTAACTGTAATGGTTACTATGTTATACTACATGTATCCATTTCAACTGACCTAATAACCAGCTACCAAGCCTGTTGGTATCCACGTTTGAAGGAAGCGAAAACACCACTTGGTACAGAAACACAAAGTCATTGGATGCACTTCAGTTATATGCACACTTTATAGCGTCACTTTGTACATATATTGCACTTAAAGTTTTTAATTTCCCCTTATTCCGTTATAAATTCGATTCACAGATTCTTGTTGAAACAAATTTATGATTTCTGAAACAGAAAAATGAATTAATAATATATAATAAAAAGAACGATGTATGAAAGCGGCTTACCTTCTTTTTGTGAACTAGTGAACTGCGTGTCTGGGAATGCAACATCGAATGTGATATATAAAATGCCGTGGAGATTATTATTTTCATAATTAGGCATTCCCTCGCCTTTTTTTCTAATACGAGCACCAGGTTTGGTCACCTTGTCTCTCTGAATAGTTACTTTGTGCCCGTCCAAGTGTTCTATGTCCATTTTGAAACCTACCAAAGCATCCTGCATGGATATAGTGATGTTCGTGTACAAGTCGTCGCCGATTCTTTCAAAAACAAGATGCGGCAGTGTTCGTATTCTTAGAATTAAATCTCCGGGTTCTCCGTCTAAGTGAGGTTCACCTTCCGCCGTAAAGTTGGTCTCTTGACCGTCTACCATTCCCGGTTCTACTTCAACCTCTAACACTCGTTCTTCGGTAACGAATTTAACGTTCGGACACTCTGAACATACCGACTGTTGAGTCATTTGAAACCTTCCATTCCCTAAATTACGAGTGACTAATTCTTTTCTGCAATTGCATTTCCTAGTTCCTTTCGCTGCCTTCATAACAGGCTTATTCCTTGTTATCTGAGAAAAAAACGAAATAGTTTATAATCAGTTTTTTATTTCTTATCTTTCCAAATACCCACCTCTATGAAATTTCCACTATATAATTCTTCTAAAGTAACTACTAGATCCATTTCTATATTGGAACCTTTTGGGATTTCATTTTGTTGTTGAGATTCTCCACCAAAGTGGAAACCAAAATCACCAAAGAAATTTGCAAAAGGATCATTATTGTACATCATCCCATCTTTTTTCAGACACTCTTCCCCGCATCTGTCGTACATCTCTCTCTTCTCATTGTCAGAGAGAACTTCATAAGCTGCGCTTAGGTCTTGAAATTTCTGTGAGGCATCTGGATCATCTTTGTTCTTATCAGGATGTAATTCTTTAGCTAATTTCCTATAGGCTTTTTTAATAGAATGCTGACTCGCTGTGGACGATACGCCTAAAATGGCATAGAAATCTCTCCTGTAACACCATAAATTTTACATGTTGTTTATAAACTGTGAACATTCTAAATTAAAGATCTAATATCTTAAATAACTCAACGTGAATTGCCATTTATGAAAGCATAGATAAATAATATAAGAAGGAAAATAAAATTTAAATACTTATTAGTTACCAATTCTGATAGTAATCAGTGATGGGTTGGCAAATAGTTTACAGAACAAGAGGTTATAATAAATATATTGTAACATTAGGTATACATCAATTTTATGAAAGAAACCTGATCGTACACTTACCCAGCTATAGTTAATATCACACATATCGTTAAATTAATGAATAAAGACAAAATTAACTTTATTGCTGCCATCCTAGCAGACGTTACAACAAACATCGGAGCTTAGATCGTGGGTGCTCCGGATTGGTGCACCTATTCAATTCATCCGATTTTGATCGACGATAACCGAGTATTTAGCCGCATTTACATATCAGAAAATATCGATGCTTCTTTCCTTATGTGTCTTTAATTACAATCAAAGTTCGTTCAAAATATAAAACGTACATACACGCGTTACATTTAACTAATAAACTCAATGATGTTGAAAAAATAAAGAGTAAGGTCTTTTCCGACGGTACCATTGAAAATTGTACCTAATGATAATGGATCCCCCTCCTCTAAATCTAATGAAACAATCATATGACAACTGATATATCAAGCCCTGCGATAAATGTAGAAAGGGTGGTGAAGGCCGTAATAAGGAAATCGTTAGTTTAATCATGTCAGTATGTAAATTCCCTCGAGTATCGTTGCAGGAAAGTTCAGTGAAAGTAATTCAATCAAGAATCACATGACAAAAACGTTTGTAAAACAAATTGAATACCCATAGGTTATGCACACCACTTTATCTGTCAAACATCCCACAAAATGGAGAAACACATGCATTTATGGAGGGGTGTTGACAAGTTGTCATATACCTTTGGGGACAAACCAAATGGCATTATCTGTAGATTGGTTACCATCAAAGATCATATTTTTGTAGCAACTACCTCTAACAGTTTATATTACGGTGAGGTAGCATTTTTGGAAAACAGCCCTCCAACATTGGTCTTCAAAAGAGCTCAGTTCGAAGTGGTTGACATAGCATCCAATTCTGATTATTTATTTATCATAGATAATAATGGACAGGTACTGAAAGTAAATCCTCAAGATATGAGTATAGTAAATACTATAATTCTAAAAGAAGAAGTTAAATGCTGTAGGCATGGGTGAGTTTCAAATTGTTACTCTGCTGTTTACATTTCTATAGCTTCTTATACCTATTACAGATACAGACAAGAGAACGAAGTAGTTAAAGTTAAATCGATAGCTGTTAGCGATCAAGCTGCACTGTTTGTAACAGAAAGTGGACAACTTTGGGCCAGTGGAAATCAGTCACAAATAGATATTAATAGCACAGAGCCTAAAAAGGTCCGATTTTTTGAAGGTAGAACCGTATCTGCCGTTGCGTGTGGCTCTAATTTTAACGTGGTCGCTGTTAGGAAAACAGCAAAGTCTATGAAAGATGACACAGACAGCGAGAATGAATTGGAAGAAGAAGTGTTTGTAAATTCTTGTCCTCAGTGTCTTAACGCTGTATCGCTGAGCCCTACGAGTTTAACTTCGTCGGATACTTGCCCGATCGGACTTCATGCACAGCAATTTAGCGAAGATCGTTCAACAAATTCCATCAGTGCTCTATCGATCGCCAGCAAGGAACACGATACTGTTTCACCGATAGACGCTGTTAAAAAGGACGAACATCCTGAGATAATTGAAAACGGAGAGTTGTGTTCTAATAATCCTGTGGACTCCGAGAAAGAAGAGAAGAAAAATGTTATTTTTATAAACACAGAAGCAGCGAGACAATTTTTAACCAGACAATTATCCTGGGTTTCGTCTTATGGTAGCGTGAAAGAAGACATACCCCTGGAGAACGTCGAGAAACCGACTAGATTAATTAAACAAAACGTATCTAATGTAGCTAATTTAGTGTACGAAGGAGTGAAAAATGTAGGTGGTAAAGTAGTTACGTTATCGAGGCACATGAGCGGAAGTTCCGATATAAATGAATTTAAAGACGACATTAGCGATCATTTAGAAAGATCAGGAGAAGAATATTTAAAACCAGCCGGTACTAGTTTAGCGCTAAGTTTACGATGCGAGGAATTTCCTTGGTCGTCGAGCACCGGTTCTTCGGAACACGAGCTGTCTCAGCAAGGTTTAAACGAAAGGATTAACACGTTAACCCGTACCGGAAGTAATATCCTGTCCACCGAACTCTGGACATGGGGCGACGTACAACACGGGCAATTAGGAACTGGTGATATTATCAAACGTTCTCGACCAGTATTAGTAGCAAAACTTAGTAACATTGGACTGAGAAAGATTTCATGCGGTGCATTTCATGTTCTTGCATTGACGTTAGATGGAAGAGTTTTTGCTTGGGGAAGAAATAATCATAAACAGGTGACGTTAGAACCGAGCACCCATCAAAGCGCGCCCCAATTGTTCACTACAAAATTATCTTCAAACGAGAGAGCTAAAGATATGGCAGCTGGTAGCTTTCATAGTTTGATAATGATGCACCATGGTCTATACTTTATCGGACAATCTAGGTAAATAATTTTATTACGAACAGTACCAATGAGAAATTATGACTAAATTTATTAATATGGTTTCAGTAAGGCTGGAGAAATGTTTCAACTTGACATTGAAACGAATAACGAATGCAGTCCTAGGCAAATTTTTAGTTCTGGGGAATATAGCTGTTGCGCTGTGATAAACGAACCAGAGATAAATGTTTCGGAAGATTTGGTAAGCGATCAAATCTTCTTGGAAGAGATATTGATTGTTTATCAAAATTTAATCAAACCATTCCAAAAGAAAGGGGGTGCTATGCAAGAATCAAATGTTTACGAGACGTTATGTCGATGTTATACAGAGTTATTAAGTTTCAGCGCACTGAACGTTATCAGTTTATGGGATTATTTTAATCATATCGGCGAAGCGTACGAAGTAACGCTTGTCGCTAATGCCGAGGAATACGTTAATGTGTACAGATATTACATAAACGCGGTGTGTGATGTCATCTCTTTAAGCGGATTCACGTATATTGCAAAAATAATTGAAGTGCCACAAATAATAGCAAATTTATTTATGGAAAAATTAAAAGTTAGTGAAGTTAAGAAAGTTAATAATGAAATTGTTATTACAATGGCATTACAGCATCCGTTGCATAAATTAAATAGGTAAATATTTAGAAAGTTAGAAATTAGAAATCATTGAAATTATTCTAATACCAGATTGTTATGTTGCTACTTAGATATAAAAACATGATTTTGAATTTAATTAAATGCAACGGTACACGAATGGGTGTAGAACGATTGCAAGAAGCTTTAATGAAATGGGAACAAATATGCGACGAACAAGAAAAACGTCAGAAAGAAGCGGAGGCTACGAAAATATTTTGGGAGAATTCGGGTAAATTAGGAGAATTATTAAGGTCACCTGACAGGCGGCTTATCAGAGAATCCCGAACTCATCCTTTATCGATACTTAATTGTGGAAGATTTTCCACGCATTGGTTTGTTTTGTTAACAGACATATTTATTCATGTTACTGGTTCTTCTCATACGGTACATCCGCTTCAAACAATATGGGTCGAACCTTTACCTGATTCTGAAACAGTACAAGTATGTTAAACAAAGTTATATTGTAAAAATCTATGATAAATATTCATTGATGTCTGTAATGTAAATTCTGTTTTAGAACGCTATATCAATAGTAGCACCAGAGGATACGTTTGTGTTATATACCCCAACACCTTCTGAGCGCAACGAATGGTTATACGCTTTACAAAATGCTATAAAATGTAGTCTGCAAAGGGTTATTGGACATGTACCTCCAATAGTACGTTCTAGCTCATTTTTTTTCACAAAGCACAGTGTTTTCAAAGATGCAAAGTATACTGGTTCGTAAATCATTGATAACAGTATTGTACATTTTCAATTTTATATTATATTTTGTTTCAAATAATGTAAAATAATTTTAAATATTAATTTCTTTTCTGGAAATTCAATACTTTGGTAATTAATTTTCAAGGAAATAACATTTCTCTCTTTTATAGGACGATGGTTAAATGGTAAGCCACATGGTTCTGGAAAGTTAGAATGGTCCGATGGACGTACCTATGTAGGACAATTTCATAAAGGTGTTATCCATGGTACTGGAAAAATGGAAATTCCATCGCAGGGTGTGTATGAAGGACAATGGAAAGATGGTCAACAGAATGGATATGGAACTATGAAGTCAGTGTTTTAAGTAACTATTAATGATTTGAAATATTAAACAATGTATATAATGTATGATATTCACTAGAGAACGTAAAATATTCTAGATATAATAATGGAGATTTTTATGAAGGATATTTCAAAGATGGATTACCACACGGGCACGGTGTTAAAAAAGAGGGTCATTTCATGGCATCCGTAGCATCTGTATATATTGGAGAATGGGCGGCAGGTGTAAAGCAAGGATATGGCATTATGGATGACATAATGACAGGTATAATTTGATAAAGAAATAAAAAACAAATGAAAACTTGAATATTCATTATAACAAAAATTATAGGTGAAAAATATTTGGGCTCATGGAATAACGGTATGAAACATGGCTGTGGTTTAATTGTAACTTTAGATGGCATTTATTATGAAGGTGTTTTCATGCAAGACGTTTTAACGGTAAATAATTCAATATTTTCGAAATCTTAATAGATATCAGTTTCAAAAATAAAAGTAAAATATTTGTAAATCTAGGGCCATGGAGTTATGGTGTTCGAAGATGGTACTCACTACGAAGGTGAATTTAAATCAGCCGGTATTTTTTATGGGAAAGGTACATTAACGTTTAGAAGTGGCGATAGATTAGAGGGTAATATGAATGGTGCATGGAACGAGGGCATAAAAGTAATTGCAACGTTGCACATGAATAAAGCTAGTGGAAATACGCAAACTGATTCGAAACCAATGTAGGTAATTCATCCATTAATTATCATTTCGCATTTAAAATATTTTATTCTTTTGATACAGGTCGTTTGGTAAATTATGCGTATCGCCGGATCAGAAGTGGAAAGCAATATTTAGGCAATGTTATCAACAGCTTGGTGTACTTGAACCAGGTTCAAAATTGACTAGTAATAGTGAGAAATCAGTAGAAACTCAACGTGTTTGGCAAAATGTTGCCAGTATAATAACTAAATCACGTCAAAAGTCTTCGCAGCAAAAGAAACTCAAAACAGTTACATCGATTTACAGAGAAAAAAATAACGAAGCGGTCGATGAACTGGATAAAATTCCTTGTTTCGGAAGGGACAAGCTTACCGTTCAAACTTATAACGAAGTTCATAAATATTTAGTGAAAGCTTTTGAAAGCCAACATCATCCGCTAGGTGCTCTTTTAACAGAAGTTGCCGCTGTATATACAGCTACCTATGGTGGTGTGAGAGTTCATCCCTTGTTACTTAGTCATGCTGTATCCGAACTTCACAGTATTACCTCAAGAATATATGAAATAGTTATTTTATTGTTTCCGGCACTACCACGGGGTGGAAAAGAATATGTGTTGGAGATAGAAAACAGTGAAGAAGGGTACGTCTTAGATTTTAATGAACTGTTATAGTTACCATCCTGTAATCTTTACACTTAATTTATTTTTCTTAGCCAAGTTATAAGTGCTGCTGCAATACTTTATCCGATACTGTTACCTCGAGTACATTCAGCCCTTTTCGTGCTATATGCTTTACATAATAAAAAGGAAGACGATGCCTATTGGGAAAGATTAATGAAATGGAATAAACAACCGGACATAACACTGATGGCTTTTCTAGATATTGACCAGTCAGTAACCAGTCGTTAATAATAATATACAGAAATTATTAGTTTTATTCATAATTGTTCGATGCGGTGGGGTTTCAGGAAATTTTGGAAAAATGCGAATGTACTAAATTTAAATGAAAATGGATTACCATATCAAAGCGAGCCGTACTTCAGTGAAGCGATTGAAACTTTGCAACAGTTGAAAACTACATTTTCCCCGTTAGAAAAATTGTTAGTCGTTAGAAATACGTTTGAACAAATGACACAAGTAAGTTAGTAATTTATTACATATTTTCTTATCTTTTAATTATTTTATCGTACGTTATAGGCAGTTCAAAAACAATTGGGTCTTTCGTATTTATGGACGATGGATGAATTGTTTCCAGTTTTTTGTTTCGTTGTCGTACGTGCTAGTGTACTACAATTAGGTAGTGAAATACATTTTATAGAAGACTTCATGGAACCATATTTACAGAATGGAGAACTAGGAATTATGTTTACTACTCTCAAGGTTAGACGTTATATTTATATACTAAACTCCATTTTAAAATAATGATTTTGATAAATATGTTTCTTCTAGGCATGTTACTATCAAATACTACAGGAGAAAATTAACGCGGGTGACTGAATGTATAATTATTATAAGTAGTAAAAGTACATATCAAACAGTTCTATAAAAATATTAGTGTACAGTACTAAGCATGGTAAGCTTCTCCAGAGAAGATTTACAATGTATATATGTGTATGTTTAAATTAACAGGATATTAACTTATTTCATCATTTTGATATTACTGTACTGTATTATCAATATGATTTTCAGACCGAAAACGTAAACGCTTATTTATTTATATGAGTTGTTTATACAACTGTTATAAACTGAATATAGACATTCTATGATAATAATTGCATTTAATAAATATTAACTGCAAAATGAATAACGTGTAATATAGTATAGTAACAATATTGTGATATTGTGTGCAATATCATGAAATTAAATGCCATATGAATAGTTATTGTTAGAATTTTCTGTTGTTTAAATGTCTCTTACATGTACTAGATAAACAAAATTGTATGTAATGTTTAATTATTTTCAATATATAAAAATATACCCATAGGAATTTCCTTTAAAAAAATAATAAAGATACTGATTAGGAAGGTATAAGTACTGCTTCCTCTATCATGTAATATAATGTAAAATTGAAAGTAAATTATTAATTATAAGTAAAACACATTGTAAATATATAGAATGTATTAAAGAATACATATTAGACAGTTTATTTGATTTATGTTTTTTATCCGATTTTCTATTAGGAAAGTTACTTAAAATTGAATAACATAAATTCAAAAAAAATGATAAAACGAAATATAATTAGCATATACATATTTATCATTCTTCAGATTACGTTTAGTCCGTCATTTGAATCTTAAATGAAAATCTTGGCGTAACTTTTAATTACGTCAGAAATGATAAAAATTTATTAAAACATACATATGTAAATGACGTTTCGAAAAATGAGATTACATCAGTAAGTGAAATATCCGCTAATGAAATGACGATGCTGTGTTGATCAGATGTTGCTTACAGAACAGTATACTTATTTTCTTGAAAATTCAAAGTAATTTGAAAATCTAAATCGTATTTATTTGTTCATAAATATATAAACGATTTGTAAGATATTTCTGTGAAAACGTTTTAATTAAATAATACAGTTCGTGATGCGCAGGTTTTAGACGACAGCATGATCATAAAGCAAGGTAGCGATTGTATCGTTACAATTTTCTTCGTCTGAAATTGTTCGTTTGAAAGGAGTATATTCACAGTATTACGTTTAAATTTCATTTTCATAGATATGGAAGTAGTTAGAAGTGTATGGAAAAAGCCGCTTTTGGTGTATAAAGTCGGATTACAGGCATCTTTTAGAAATAGGTATATGACGAGAACATATAACCTAAACGTTATTCTGTATTTCTAGTAATATCTATAAACTAGGATTAATATCCGAATGCAACCAATCCATTGTATAATATACTTTCTCTTAGATTTACGTATTATTTTATAAACAGGTCAAAATGAAACGAGTGATAATAATATTTTGAGTTATACTAATGTGTCATAAACGTTAATTTACCGGTATTTATTCTTTTTTAGTAGATCATTCATTTACTACATACATTTACTGTATTTTACAGCACCAGTAGTAGTTCAGCATCAAAGGTAACAAAAAAGGAAGATGTTTCTATTAAAGATGATGATCTACGAATATCAAGCACAAATGTTGATTTGAATTTACAAAATGATGCTGCATTTAATGCTCTTGTTTCTACTGAAGAGTTATTAGCACAATTAGGATTGGCTAGGGAATTTGCAACTGATAGTCAAGTTGAACACCCTTATGTTGATAAGTTAAAAAGGGTACAAATGATCTTGTTTGATCTGAGCCATGCTATATCAAAGCCAATACCTGGGAAAAATAAATCATTTGAAAGCAAACACATTATTGATTTGGAAGAATGGATAGCAGAGTATGCCACTCAACTGCCTCCTCAAGAAACTTATATTATTCCGGTAAATACTAATTATATCTACATTTTTCTTTGTATTAAATGATTTGCCTCTATTTGATTCCATATATTTATATTAGGGTGGTGGTAAAGCTTGTTCTACATTGCACTCGGCTAAAGCGATATGTAAACGTGTAGAGAGAAATGTTGCATCTTTGGTTCAAGATGGTTTATTAAATAAAGAAGCACAAATATATTTAAATAAGTTACAAAATTTTCTATTAACGACATCACGTATTGCAGCTAAGTGCGATCAACGTGTAGAAAACATATATATTCCAAGAGTAGAAGTTGAAAACGATAAAAAGAACTAAATCGTAAGCTGTATCGGACAAATCCATAGCATGTCATCTTCGAGTATCTTCTTCTTAGAGATGATAATATATGCGAACAACCAAATATTATACTCAGAAATATCTGCGGTAATGTTAACGTGTATTATTATACTTTGAAAACATAAATATGTTGTAAATATTTTTTAATCATGTTATGTATCAATTACTGATTGTGCTGTATTATTTGTATTAAAAGTGTACATAGTAATTACACGACATATTAAGTAGTTGAAAGTTTCTAAATAAAGTAAGATACAATCTTAATATACAGTAGAAATACATCTTGCCCTCTAAGGTATTGTTGTATTTAAGAGAATGTATGATTATTTTCGGTAAATAATTATACATAATTTCTATATTCGCTGATTTATTAAATGACACATCTAAAGATGTTTTATAAATGATTTACAGTTATGCTGTTTATGCACAGGATAATAATTTATTGAATAGAAATTTAACATTTTGTACTGCATTTATGCCTATGTATGATAGAAAAATATTCATGAATGAAAAATTATTATGTAAATAAATGTATAGCAATAAAGCTTATAAAAGTTAATGCTGCATTTAATTGTACCGAGGGATCAACAAATTATGAAAGGGAAAACATTTAATTAAATTCATTATTCATTCTAAAATTTCGTCTCCTTCGACAATTTCTTTTAAATTAAGTAACTCCAATAATCCGGAACCTTTAGTTTCGGAACTAACCAGTTCGTTTATTTCTCTGTAATGACCAGGATCAATTAAACAAACTAAGTCTAAAGTTCCATTACCCCATTCTTCTGTTTCTACTTTTGTTATCAAATTTGTTATTTTTTGTCTTAACTTTCTGGCCTCTTTGCCTGAAACCAAAACCCTCAGCCTCATTTGAGCTCTCTCTAGAGGCATTACAGCTTTCAACTGTGGAATCACATCTAGAGCTTGTTGTTTTGCGCTTCGATTTGGTTTTACAGAATAATGTACATCTTTCATAGCTTTCTCTATCATAGTTACTGGATATGGACGTTTAGTTTCTGGATTAACGCATTTGTCGGCAACAGTTGTTGCAATGTCTTTAAACATGGAATCTAAAGCTGAATGCCTTTCTTTGTCAGAAACTTGAAGTTCTCCCTTTGTAAGAATCTCTTTACAAATTTCTGTCTGGTTATCTGTACCAAAAGCCTTTATAAGATCTTCTTTCTTTGCTACCTGACCTTTTGAAACATTTATAAATACTGTGTGTGTCTGTAAAACTTCATCAATATCTTTTTCTCTGAAATGTAATATAGTTGTCACTATTATTACATGCTCTACGTGAAAAGGACAGGATATATGTGAAAAATAGGAAAATAAACTTTGTAGGTTATGTGCGAAGATCGTATCAATTCTGTTGATGGACTGTCAAAGACTTACAATTTATTCCTCCATGAAATAACCTTGTTCCTATAACAAGCAATCTCAAATCGTTTTCCTGTTTTTTTCATACGAACTACGGCAACATTAGTTAACCTTATTTGATTAGTTGGAGTAAAAATTTTCGACATTTTTAGTCCACGTGAATATAACACTGATCTTTATTTCAAAAAATATCATGCACACTTTGTAAATGATATTTTACACAACCTTAGGAAAATTAGGAAAACCCTTATTATTTTAGTATTTCTACAAGCCGGAAGTGTTGCGAATTTATGCAAAACGATTCCAAGCTCTCGATGCTCTCGATTCGTAATCGAATCGCTGACATCCAACTTCCTTTGAAATATCGATAAATTTTAAATATTTCTGAAATCGTTTGTTGCCATTTTTTTGTTCAGTATATTAATGTTCATTATTGTACATATACGTATGTACATCATTTATAATTGCATAATAGTTCGTGTTTGGAGAAGGCTGCAGTTTAAAGGTCTCCTAATAGTATAATGCAAAATAATTTTGAATCAAACTATGATAACAAAGTGCATTATGCATCAATAAAAGAAAGATTTCAAAAGAATGTAATAAGGTGTTATAAATTAAATGTACAAAATTGTTTGTAACAAGTATATACTATCTGGTAATTATAACAAAGTATTATTGAAAATTTGTAGTAATTTTGTAAAATAATCTTTCGCTAAATTGCAAAATTAACGCGGGAAAAAATTGTAGCAATGACGTCATTTGTACGATAAGCAGAATCGCGGGATGCGCACGCCGTGGTGATGCGCATGCGCAGACTACCCGCTACGTTAGACTGTATCGAACATGGCGGCGGCGAGCGTGATGCCGTTAGAAGTGCGTGAAAAATGATCGTTTTTTCGTGGTTTAAACGATCCGATTGTTTTTACGTGTGTGCATAGTGACAGTGAGTGTTACCTTCAACATTTTAACAACGTGGGAGATCCTTATCATGGCATTGGTCACCGTACAGCGGTCTCCAAGTGTGTCCAATTCCCCGCAGAGTTCGGTGAGTTTTCTTGCTTTGTGTCGCTTTGTCGATACCTACTGTCAATTTTGCTCGGTAACGCGTTCTTTTAAGATTCATTCTTGTCACCGTAACAAGCGATATACTCGAAACGCATCGTAAACAGCTGGACATTGTTCGCGTACTCGTTTCGTATTTGGTGTATTGACAGCGAATCGAGAAAGAGAATCGTGAAAATTCAAAATTCCCTGTACCGTGTGACAGTGAATGAAGAAAGTTCGTGACCGCGAATTTTCCGTGACCGTAGTAAACAAAGAGTCGTGTTGACGTTTCTCTGCGATGGCAGGACGTACATATGTAACTCGTAAGGTGCACGAGTTCGCGGTTATGCATTAATCGTTGATACTTTATCTAATCCATTTGGAGGCATTTTTTGTATCACTGTTTATCTTTCTGCGAAAGATAATTCAAGTAATTTATTGTATAAGATGATTTATTATACACATGAGTGGTTACTATGATTGTTATCATTGTATCTTTCACTGTACTCGGTCGCGTAGGATGAATCATTGATAAAAATATGAAATAGAAAATAAATCATGATCAGGTAATAGGCGTTCGGAGTAACTGTGAAGTGGAAGGAGTCGAAAGGAATTTTCGCGTTCTTTCTCGCAAAATTACCGACGCCGAAGAGCGTGGTAGCGGTGGTATACATATGCCGATATTGTTTGCGCACACGTTGCGTGCATTGGACTCGGTGACGTCGCGATGTTGTTAACCACGGTCGTCGTGTCGGTTCGCGCTCTTCGACGAAACACAGGAGAGTTGAAAAAGAGAGCGAAAGGAACACGTGGTTCTCAGCGTATCATCTGTAGTTGAACGAGCGCCGTGACTAGTGCGTTTTCTCCGATCGGTCGAATGATTTTACTTAAAATATCAATTCCAAATTTACTTGTTCGTGATTGTCATAGACTGGGGTGGGGGGTTGAGGAAGTAGTTTCGAACGAAAATAGGTATCAATGGAAATCGGTAATAAAAATATCTTTAACAATGAAGCGAACAAGTTACGGTCGATCAATATTTTCACACGAGTCAGAAAACACCCTGCACGTAATGATACTTTATTCCTGTGATAAAAGGAGATATTGCGAGTGGTGTTTCTTGCGCGTCAAAGCCAGTTTATCCAGATATGGAGTTGATCCGCGCCCTAGCATTCTCCACATGGCAAAGAAGCAACGCGCCAAGCCTTCTTTGCTTACAAACTTGATCAACTGAAACGAGCGTCAACCTTGGAAATTATCGGTTTTTCTTCTCCCCTTCTGGCCTTTTATACTTACAGACGCGAGATCTCCACGATCGATACGATTCGTGAAATGAAAATTCGTTCCTCTTTTTTTTTTTCACGTTTGTACCTTTTGAAGTTACCTCGTAGAATTAGAATCAATAGAATTAGGGTTGGAGGATAATTATCCGAAGTGAAAGTCACGGTAAACGGCACAGGAAATAATATTCACTTCAAAAAATTTCAGAATACGCGAGATATAGGCACATCTTTTATATGATGTAACGTTTAATATTAAATATTTGTAAACGTAATGACGCACACGGTGCGTCTTATGCAAGCGACTACGTTTGATAACGAGAATATTATCAGTTAATACTGAAAAGGCCATCAAAGAGATAAAATGGCGCGAAGGTGAAATGATAGAAAAAAAAGAGCGTAGGTAAACATTAAAATTGATACTTTTCTTATACAATTTTTTTTTACAGAATAATTTGTACTTGGTTTGAAATTAAAGCGAACAATGAGTATCGTACGTGTGGTAATAACGAGAGAAACATGATGCAATTAAAGAAGAAAAAAAAAAAAAAAATTCCATGTCTGTTGGTATAACGAGACCCTTGGCCTCGAATGGGTTAAGAGCACGTGGTGTGGATCGTCGCGAGTACGATTCGCCTTGAAAGTCGCGGTTTAAAAAAGTCACCGTGGCCGCGGTTTTGCGCCTCCTGCCCCGTGGTCTTCTTTTCATTTCCACCGGACTAAAGCTTCTATTTTAAGGCCGAACCGTATAGACGGGAATGGAAAATTGCGCCGTGGCATTAATAGCGGCTGCTATTTCATATCCCCGCGCGATCAATTCCCTCGGGAAATTCGAGAATACCGGCAACGTTTTCTCGGCAACGTTTACAGAAATGGTTGTCTCGCGATGCTAAACGTATTTTTTACGCAACTGTTTTCGCAATTAACAGCATTTTCAATGTTTAATCAATGAACGTTACGTAGTCGCGATATTTGAAACGAAAGTGCATGGTTGTACGAGTATTTAAACAGTCACAGTATTGTGATTACCGGTGGAAACAGTTGTTGAACGGAAGCGGACAAGCCGATAAGCGGGGGCGTCTAGAATGGATTAGTATTTGCATAAGATAATGTCGGAAAAGGGTTACTCTCCCTTGCGTCGATCTGGCCCCATCGTTTTTGCATTATTTGCAATTCAACGTCGTCGAAGGGTTTCCCTTTCGGCTAGCATACTTAAATCTTGATTTACGATTCCTCTTCTACGAAGCCCATTGTCTTCTGTAATCAATACTTATGCATTGATTACACACGTGTTGTTGAAGTATTAAGCTGG